GTTTTGATTTCATATTTTATTCAACAGCGGAAATTTTGTGAAGTTAGATGATCTACCAAAAATGAATAAATTGTTGTATTTTTCCTATTATGGAGAACTAATAAAAAGGGCATCCTTAATACTGACTGAAGATATAATCAGCTGCATTCATTCCAAGACACCTCCCAATTTATTCAAGTAAGCTACAATCATTATTTTGTTTTTGTATAGTATGTATTGTGTATTTTGTACAGTAATAATAGATGACTATCTGATTTATGTTAAACAAATATAACATTTTCGCCACCTGTAAAACGACACCGAGCTCATTATTTCTTTTATTATTGTTTATTGAATAACGCTGATTATTATTTATTCATATGGGGCACGTTTGTCCCTTTGCCGATCGTCTTCAACCAATATTTACAAATTTTTTACTTTTTTTAAACAGACAAAATATAAAAAGTTGTCGAATAAAATTTCCTTGTTTCCTTGAGCTTTACGCGTTTTATACATGTTTTTATCGACAACTAACTTTTCCTCCTGTTTTTTATTTCTATTGATTTAAATTGATTTATTGAAAGTTAATTTTACAATAGCACATCCTAATTTTTAAAAAACATATCCAGTGTCAAATTATGTATGTTCTCTCGTTCTCACACCCTTGAGCAGTCGCAGCTTTGGATTACAATCATGTCGGTTTTTCATCATCATGTACTTTTTTATCTACTACTCTAGAAATTTTCTGTATTGTAATTAGGGCAGTTGCAGAAATTTTGATCTCTCAATGTATTTTAACCTACTGCAATCTGTCGCCTTTACGGTGACCTGTATAAATATACGCGAGCTGTATAATTTAAAAAAAAATTGACAGTCTAACAATTAAACCTAACATATTATGACTTATTTGTAAATTGTAGATATGTTTATTAAATTTAAAATTAAATTTAATTTTTGAAAATCATTAATTTCTAACTTCATATCATTTAAATTTTTAACTTGATTACTAAAATTCAAATTAATAACTTTTTTAAACTAAACCAAAACTTTATCATTTCTCTTTGCTATACATTTATTCACATTTAATTTTTAATCCAAATCATTAGCATTACTAAACAGATTAAAAATTTAGCAATTTATTTTTAATATTAAACCATTCCAAACGGTAACAAGACGTTTCGCTTTTTGTCGCTTTCGTCCTCAAGACCTATCGCTTGCCCAAAAGACGGTTCGCCTCCTTAATTTTATAGTTGGACGATTCGCTTCTTGTCACTTTCACTCTTAAGTTGATTCGCTCACTATAAGTTTAACGCTAAACTACCAAAAAAACGTGGACGCCTAATCTTGCAGCCTCTTTTGATCTTGCCGTTCTGCAGTGATGTTTATCGAAGAAGCTGCTAAATGTGTAGGACATAACATCAGTCCATTGATAATAAATAAGAGGCAGAAATACCAAAAAAAAGCTCGCTACCAACATCCGTCAGAATTTTCAACCTAACTCCATTTAAATTGTTCACTGGGACTCCAAGCTGTTGCAAGATTTTACATCACCAAATGGTTGATCGGTTGCCTATAGTGGAGTTAGTCAGCTGTTATCAGTGCTAAAGCTATTATTATGAAGTAGCACAAAAACGCATAAAAACTTGTTGGATAAGTTGAAGAAAGAAGTTGTGTTTCGATACATGTAGTGCGAATACCGGTCTCAAATCTTGAGCTTGCGTTCAATTGGAAGAGATATTGGGGCGTGACCTTCTACATACCGCCATCACATACTAGAACTTGTTGCAGGTGCAACTTTTACAGCAGTAATGAGTGTTTCCTCCTCACCTGAAATCCTTCTTTTCAAAATGTTTAAATCGCTTTGGTATTTGATCTGTAATGATAAATTCCAAAACTCAACCAAAAATCAACACACTGGAGATTACTTGCTGACGAGGAGGAACTTGCAGCATTTCTTAAATCAGCTTTAACTGATGTTCATGTACCTGATGATAACCGTGATGTTTTCTCGGAGCGATGCACCTAGCAAGGGGGATGTCCAAGATAATTTAAACTTTTTTAGTTTGGATGTTTAGGTCAAAATTTTTACCTTCCAAACGTGAAGGCAAGGATTGGGTGAATTGTGCATCACCAAAGTATATGTGAAGGCTTGGAATTCAGCACCTCTTTCTGCTGCTAAACCCTACAACTATTTTCAACCTTTGAAGTCCCTTCTATCAACAAGAAAATTTCAAAAGCAACGTCAACTAAAATGGCAGATCGTTTCTGGTACTTATCTGAAAAATTAGTAGGTCTGTCATTTTTCGACCCTTCCCTTATTGCGAAATTAAAAGTCAAATGGTAAAAGCAATGGCCGAGATTGAGGGAGAAGATAATCCACTAAAACGTGCAAAATTAAAGGTAGTTTTGTTAAGTGATTTACAGCATAAATCCGTTGTAGACTTTGTCACAAAAAATACAAAATTGCTGTTCACAAAGCTAAGATTGCCACACAGTTTTCTGCAGTTACCAATTGCGAAATGGCCAAAATAGGATGACTTTCTGGGCGCTGTTAACAACATTCAAATAATTAACGACTTGGCGGAACGAGACGCCACAATAATACAAAATTATTTAAGAAGTTTGACCAAAGATGAGCAACTACAGTTTCTACTCCAAGTTGTTATTGCTGACAACCGAAAACGCTACCCTAAAGCTCTTAAATGTGAGCTAATGGATGACACATGAGCCACGTCATCAGCCAATACTTAACTTCCCTTTGACGATAAACTTTTATTGCTCTTCTTTGTGATTGTTGTATGATTAATATAAATCACGTTTCATGCACTGTTGCACATGTTGTATAAAATTAAAAATTGATACTTAACGATTCTGTTTTGTTTTTAATTTTTTGTCGTATATTAGTGATCCCTATAAAAGCTGATAGGAAAAATTGTCAAAATTTATTCTCATTTTTGAACGGATATTTAACAATTGCTTTTTTAAAAAGTATGTATAGGTATCATTTTTTTAGCACATACATAACAATTTTTCTCTTATCTGGTCAATAATATGTAAAATCTAAAATTAAAGTTATTAAGCCTCAATGCTTTAATACTTCAAACAAAAATGATTAAAATTAGTGAAAGTTCGAATATCAAGTGTATTTCCCGAATTATGTTGACGACGACGACACTGGAATGTTGGAACGACAGTCAAATATCTAATATAAGCATTCAAATAAGAAAAAAACATTTTTAGCAAAACCTATAAAAAATAAGAATTAACACAACTAAAACGTAATTTTTGGTCTCAACATATAAAAATTTTCTTAGCTCACTCATTTAATGACTGTAACTTCATTTGTTTAATATTTTAATTTATTGTTTCATTTTATCCAGTTTATCAATCAATTCATTAATTTTTATTTCACAGAGGAACTAATGTGGCTTACTTTGAACAAACTTCAAAAACTGATTTTTTCCTTTTCAACAAACTCTTTGTTTGTTTTAACCTGCTGTTTGTTGATGATCCAATGGTCAGAGTGAGAGGTCTTCATGACTCATCTATAAGGTTTAAAAATCTATTCAAATAACATTTGATGTCTATTAAGCACTATTCGTGATTCCTTTCCATAATGATTTTATTATTAATGTATTTTTTGTAAAATTTTCAGATTTTTTGTGGGTGAAAACGCTGTAATCCTTGTAGGGAGTCAGTCAAAATATTACAAATTCAAACCAGTAAATTATGTTCCTATAACTAAAAGTTCGTTAACTCCTTAACGATAGTTAAACAATTACGAAAACGGTTTATAAACGAAAATTACGAAAATTCTTTATAAACTTAACCTTTTTTTTAGTTTGAATCATTGTTTTTTATTGAATTTTTGTAATATATCTAATCTAATATATATGAAAAACACTATTGCTCTAAGTGTGTAATTTTTATGATAACTTATTGGTTACATTGAGGTACGGAAGATAATTTGTTGCAACTGTGATAACTTTTTTATGCCTGCTGAATAAAAAGTTTAAAATAACTTATAATTAAAAAGTTTTTTGCCACAATGTTTTTTTATTGCCAAATTAATAAATCTACCACCTTCGTTTATTGCCAATAATTCTACCATCTACGGTTTTTTTTAGAAAACGCTGATGTGCTGGCGGTTATTTTTTTGTATAATAAAGTTTTTCCATCCAAAATTTCGAGACTATTTAAATTTTTAATTTGTTCATTTCCTTTTTTTTTAGATTTTGTTTGACATGAATGAATAATTGTCTGGGTTCAATTTATTTATTTTCTTTGCATATATATTTTGTGGAAAAAAATCTTTGTCTTAATTGTTTGAATTTGTATTTTATCAATTCTACGTGGTCAATCTGATCTTTATGATAAAAATTGATGGCGACAAAAAGAAACGAATTAAGGACAAAACTTATTTTATAAAAGCAACGGCTATAGAATTAGGAAGAAGATGCACTAGTTTGATAACCCAAAACTCTGCTAGAGACCGTTCGAGTATGAAGTAACACAAAAGATCAACTTTTTTTACCCCCTCTGCCATCCGTAACATTTGCGACTTTTTTCAACTATTAAACGCTGCAATTCAATTTTGGTTACAGTTTAAGTAGTGAAGACATATCGAATACATTACTAAATTTAGTAACTAATTTAAATTTACCAAATTTATTGTAGTTTAATGCAGCTCGACAAACAAAACTCCGAAGACAAATCGATGTGGAAAACTAAATTGTGTCTATCAAATGTGTACAAGTAAACATATATAAATATAGGCTTTTATTTTTGCAAATATAGGCTTTTATTTCTTCCCTATTTTTTCCCATTCCCGCTCGCAATTTCCGATTGCCAAACAGCGATTTCCTATTCTCTGAAATTCCATTTTCCCGAAAATTAAGTTTTACCAATTTCCATTGCGAAATGTTCTTGAGCGATAGATGAATATTACTTTATATTTGGCAACAAATAATATGACTTTCATAGGTTCTTCTGATAAAATATATACACTTAATAATGGATAATTTTTAGGACTGGTACAATTACTCGCGAAATTTGATTCTATAATGTTGAACCATGACATGCTAGCTCTTAAAAGAAATTTTTCTGATCATTGCTGTGGGAAAACTATTCAAAATGAAGTGATAGATGTAATGGCATCAAAAGTAACAAACATAATCATATCCAAAGGCTACAGGCTACATAATATTCTATTATTGTTGACTGCACTCCTGACGCTTGAACGAAGACTTGAGACCGTGCGAAAAGACGGAAATGGCAAAACATCTCTTTGGCCCAGCCCCTATATTTTGAATCTGAAGTCGTAAGATTTCGCCTACTTAATTTACTATACATACTTCTACAATAACAATTTATATCGGCAATATTGAATTATTCAACGACGACCAAAACCGGCACTAAATGTATAAATTGGCGCACTGCATGCTGGTTTATTTTTACTATACATTATGTATGTTCCCGTCTTCTTCTCCATACATAACTATAACATACAATTAATTAATAATCCCTGGTCGAATTGATGAACCTGATAGAAACTCGTGAAATGTTAAAATAATGAACCTGATGACCAATGGTGATCTGTCGAAATGAACCTGATGACCAATGGATATTGTCGAAATGATGAACGTGATGACCAATGGTGAATTGTCAAAATGTTGAACCTGACTGCAACTACATCGCGGTGAATGTCTATATTATTTAAAGGCTCACTCACATAGCCATAACTGAGCCAGTTTCAATGTGTCCGGTATTCATTAATATTGTTATTATAAATATTATTATAACTATTATTGCTGTTAACATAACAGAAAAAATTAAATGAGCACAGGTGTACAACCCATAAGCCCAAATCTCCAAAAATTTGTTAATTAAATGAAAGCTTAAATTGTTCACGTAATAATAAAAGTAATACTCACACGTCTCAAGCACTATTATTGCTGCTAACATAACAGAAAAAATTAAATGAGCACAGGTTTACAACCCATAAGTCCAAATCTCTAAAAATTTGTTAATTAAATGAAAGCTTAAATTTTCACGTAATAATAAAAGTAATACTCACACATCTCAAGCATAACCACAATCATACTGCCAACCCATATATCAATCAATCTGGATAATTTGCATGCCATTCGTACCTCATCTCGAACCCAAAGTAATCTCAAACCCAAAGTAAACTTGTCAAACAGAACTTTAAATTGATTTACGGATTTTGCATCCACAATTTCTTGTAGTAAAGAATTTCAAGTAAACTTGTCAAACAGAACTTTAAATTGATTTACGGATTTTGCATCCACAATTTCTTGTGGTAAAGAATTTCATGTGGGTATAGTTCTGTTACAAAATGCGTAAAATGAGTAAACATTACTCATGTTTGTTCTAACCTTATTTCGTTCTAACTTTTTATCGTGTCCTCTAGTTATTGAATCTGTACATAATTTTAGATCTGGATATCAGCAGAAGCATAATCTAATTTAGATCTGACCATAGATTTATATAAAGTCAAAAATAAAAATTTATCCAAACCAAAAAAATGAGATTGAATTAAATATTATTTGATAACATTTATTCACAATACTATCTACATGCTCATCAAATCTCATTTTATCATTATATGTAACACCGAGATCCTTAATAGATTCAACTTTACTTTAACCAAGAAAAGAATCATTATTTTTACCTAAAGACATCCATACACATTTATCCGCATTCAAAACCACATCGTTCTCCCCACACCAAACAACAAAATTATCCAAAACCAAACTGCAAAAATTACCTATCAACCTCTGATTTCACACCGCTAAATATTTTTGCATCATCTGCAAAGAGAAATAATTTAGAATCATTATTCTGGTTACATATCTTAAATAAATCATTTATATAAATAACAAGCAATACAGGTCCTAACACACTTCCTTGCGGAACACCACTCGTCACATTCATCCATTCCGAAAACACCCTATTAACACTAACATAATATTTTCTATTCTTCAAATGGACATTAAATCCATTTAATCACATCCTCATTAACAAAATATAATCCTAACTTTTTAATTAATTTAACATATGAAATTTCGTCAATATTTTTTAAAATCAGTAAATATCATATCCACACCACCCCCATCATCCAAAGCTTTAATTCAAATGTCCATTATTTTCAATAACTGAAGAAAAGTTGATCTTTTTTTACGAAACCATACTGAAATTGACTGAAGAAGTTATTAGCACTGAAATTATTTAAAAGAGCATCCTTTGCAAAACTTTCTAGAATCAATCAATCTTCGTTTTGCGTCCAGAGACCCAGTTCCCAGAGGTAGGACGTTGTTTTCTTTGCCATCAACTTTTTGCGCCAAATTAGACGATCAGTTGTATCCATTTCATTTAAATTTAAAGCTTTCATGTCTTGTTCGATTGTTTGCGACCAGGATTTCTTTGGACGCCCTTTGGGACGAGTGCCAGGTACTTCAACATCTGCAAGAGAAGTTATGGTACTGTTTCTACTTCGTTTGACATGACCAAACCACCGCAGACGGTGTTGCCGGCATTCGTCCTTTATATCATCTAAACCAGCACGACACAGGACAATTTTCAGGGAGTGTTCTAACAGACGTATACCTCGATATGATGAACAGTTCAATGGATCACCTTTGCCTTTGTATAGCGGGACTGTCATGCTATAGTTCCATTCAGTTGGCATTGAGCAATTTTTCCAGATTTCACGGCAAAGTTGTAGTAACGTTTGGATACCTGCAGTACCAGATGCTTTGATAATGTCATTTGTGAGTCCAGAGGGCCCTGCTGCCTTTCCATCCTTCATAGCTTTCAGAGCTTCTGTAAGCTCCTCTACAGTGATGTCTGAAATCGGACCTTCGATGGGTGGAGCGTCAAAGTTAACATTGATGGGATTTGTTTCGTTTAACAGACGGTTGAAGTATTCTCTCCACTGTAGCTTGATCTCATCTTGTTCAAGAACCATCTCATTTTTGTCGTTTTTGATACATGAGACACCAACTATGCCTTTTTTCGTACGCTTTGCTGGTTTTGCTATACGATATAGAGATTTCATTTGTTCACATTTGCTTTTAGTGAGCCACTCTCTGCACTGATCTGTCCGAGCCAGTCTTGCATAGTTGTTCTCACGGAAAATTTAATGGTCATCAACAGACTTTGATTTTTGCCATTGCTTGTAAGCAACTATCTTTTCAGCTATTGCATTTTGTACACTGTCATTCCACCACCAAGTGTCCCGTTCATGCTGACGTTTTGTACCAGTTTTCCCACAAACTGTAGTTGCAGTATTTATCAAAACGGTTTTGTATGTACTCCAATCTCTACTGGCTTGCGATTGGTGGTCTAACTGTGTGGCGACAATCTGTTGAAATTTTTCTCGAAGAATATTGCTTTTCAGCTTCCACGTTTTGATTCTCCGAGGCATTTGTTTAGACTTATGTTTTGACAGTTCGACAACCAGGTCTGCCACAAGGAGTCTATGTTGGGCGACACATGATTCACACCTAATTTTTGAATAGCTTTCGGTGTTGTTGCTTGACAGCGAAGAAATCAATTTGCGTGGCTGATGGTCCACTTTTGTATGTTATGAGATGTTCCAACTTCTTTCTAAAATATGTATTCAGTAAACAAAACCCGTGACTTTCAGCAAACTCAAGGATGCGGTTGCCATCTTCATTCCGTTTTCCAAAGCAAAAACCCGCCATGTACGTTGTCAAAACCGTCTGTTTTCTCTCCAACGTGGCCATTGAGATCGCCTCCAATCAGGATTGTTTCAGATTTTGGTATTGTTGAGATGGTGTCAGAGAACGCAGCCCAGAAGTCATTTTTCATCTCTTCCTGTCTGCGGTGCATATGCAGAAAAAATAATCATTGTTTGCTTTTCTATGCAAAGCTTGATCCACATGAGACGTGAATTAATCCTTTTAATATCCAGTACTTCTTGGGCTAGCGGTTCTCTGACAAAAATTCCAACACCATTTTTGGCCGTCTTTTGACCATTCCAGAATAGTTTATATTTTTCTTTGTCTGAGTTGACCAGACAGACATCATTCGATTTCCATCGGGTTTCCTGAAGGCAGCAGATGTCAATCCTTCTACGCTCGAGCATTTCTGCGATTTCCATGCTGCGGCCAGTCAGTGATCCAACATTGAGCGTTCCAAGTCTAAGTACCATAGAGGGGCCATTCTGAATTTTTTTGCAACATCCCTCCGCTATTGCATACTTCCCAGGGATTCTTGGCACCCCTTGACCACTTAAGGCCTGCTGGGGACTAGGGGCCGTTGTTTTTCTTTGTGATGGCATAAGAGTAATTTAGGAAAAAGTTTTTACATCCGGACACCCATCCTGACGACAACCACCAGTTATAAGCGGTGGGCCTAGCCTTTTGCTCAAAAGCACGCAAGGCAGCGTGGATGCAGTTTTATGTCATGCCCAGAACTAAGTAAGAAGCAGAATAATAATAAAATATAATAATTATAATAAAATATAATAACTCTATTCAAGTATAATAACAATTATTATTTATATAATTATAGTCATAATTATCAACTTTGTAGAAATTATCAACGGCCATATTCATAAAGTGGTCCAAGTATGTCTTGTGACTAAATCATTATATGAAAACATAAATAAAACCGAAAATATGACGCAGCTTCAAACTCTAGGCTTACTCGAAAAATTTATGACTGGACTATGGATGTCTGCAATATATGGAAATGTCCAGAAAAGTTCAAAACTTGAATTGGTAAAACTAAATGATACACATGATATATGTTTTATTTCTCTCAAAACCACAATCTGTTATTATGACATACAGGTTCCTGCATTCAAATTAGCAGTTGAAAACTTGAACAAAATGTAACAAGATCCTCAAAATATTTTTTCAGTTAAATGTGATGTATTTGGAGGAAGCTTGGAAGAGGATGAAGTTTTTCACTCATTGATCACTTCAAGATATGATAACAAGCTTCTAATTTCCATTTTCTCTTCCCTAGTTCAGGTAGCCTTGTGATCAGCACACACTGCACAATATAAAATATATGCCAGCAACCTAATTTTTTTTAATGTCACAGGTGGCATTACTTGTTGTTGAAAGACAGATGAGCACTAGAGCTCTTTCAAATCCTATTTCTCAAATGATAGTGAACTCTTCTTCAGCACCTACTCATATTATGCATGCTGAAAGAATGCTTGGTATGACAGATTATTTTATTCATAATGCACCTATTATCACCACAGGTTTTCTGGACTCTAAAGTTAGGGCTAAAGCAAATCACACTTTGGAATAGCTTGATTGCAAAGCACAGGATGTACAGAAAGTCATGATACAGTTTGCGATAAGGAAAAATGAAATGAGAAAAAAAATTTGTCGAAACATGGAACAAAGGGCAGATGGCAGTATCTTGCTGAGATAAAAAAGAATGATGAAGACAAAACAAGGAAGAATACAGAACATGCTATTCTTGAGTTGTTGGTCAATAATTGATCAGTTGATCATCCATTATTTGTTAACCTTAAGAAAGAGCATAAAGGTTTTTGAATAAAATTTTGAACTATGAAGATTTGGCATGTGAGTTGGTAAATCACAAATGGGATCTGGAAGATAATTCATGTATGTACTTTTGACGTATACAGGAATGGAAAAAAAGATATTTTTATTATCAGCTATTGGTGTATGAATGAAGGAGATGCTGAAGATATACCACATACAATATAAGGGTTGAGAGTGTCATCACAGACATGCTAACAGGAGATCTCCATTTTGGCATCTGTTAAAATTAATTATTATTTTAATTATAGTGTAATTATTTCATATTAATTATTTCTATTTCTATATTTTCAGCATTCCATTTAAATCCAGTTTTTCATTTCATAAATTCCACACATATATTCATAGTTGTCCAGTGGTTTTTTTTCAATTAATGATCTATTATTATTATTATTGATTTAGTGTGCTACAGTAGAGCTTAACTTCGTAACTTCTATCTAAAACTCATTGACATTCTTATTTCTTTCCATTTATATTTTTGTTAAATAATCAGATAAATTTACCATTATATATTTGATGATGTAACCTAATTTAATTAAATTTATTAATCAATTATTCATTAAATTCTATTAAAAATTGTGTTAATTATTTAACACTGCTATTTATTTTAAGGATGAATAAGAAAATCATTTATGTTATAAAATCGCATATTTTTAATAATTGTTGAATTATTATCAGAATAGCAAAGGGATCCGTTTCAAGTTCACAAGTTTAATTTATTCTTCATTTCACTTTCACTGTTAAATATGTTTTTACATATTTAATGTATTTTATTAGATGTTTCAAGATATTTGTACTAATATTCACTCATTTAAAAAATAAATTCATATGTGTTGTGTTGCACACATTATCCTTATTTTTTCCCAGTCGATTTTTGTTGACAAATGCAAGCTGTGTTAAACAAATTTTTATATCCTTAAAGTTGGATATATATATATAGTTGGATATATATCCTTAAAGTTGGATATATATATATAATTTTGGGCTTGTTAGGTTGCTAATGAGTTAAAGATTATGAAAATAAAGTTGAAAAAATTTTTTCATGCATTTTTTTCTCATGCAACTACCTAAATATAATATATATGTGCAAAAAATATATATATATAATTATATATAACACAACAACACACGTTTAGACATTTTCCCTGAGATCAAGAGTTGCCGTTTGGCTACCTATGATGAAACCGAATATAATATTATAGTATAATAATTATACTAATTATATATATTATATATATAGAGAGAGAGAGATTGAAAGAAGACCCATAATTAATGCAATATTTAATAAAATTTACTGAAATTTTAGCTTTTGAGAGTTTACGATTGAGCTTTTAAATATTTCCAACAGTAATTTTATAATTATTGTATAATTTATTAATTTTATTAAAATATAAAAATCGTTAGAAAAAACTTGACCAATCCAACAACCAATAGTCAACCAGTGTTGTTTTATTTTGTTTTACTTTTTAATATATCATTTTATTTTTACTAGGATTGAAATTGATATTTTGATTTTTGAATCAAGATTTTTTTTCTAAAAGAGCACGGTTAAACGTGTCAATGTGAAAATGACTGAAAAAACATTTACTTGTAATATAATCCAACAGATGAGCTGTAATAATAAATAAAATCGATCTTAAAAATAAAGAATGCGTGAAAACGTATAACAATTTCACTTCGATTTATTTTGATCAAGATATAAATAAAAGTAGACACAAGAAAACTACATACAAATACAAGAAAAATACAAAACTTTCTAGAACCTTGCAATAAATACTAGATAAGGAGACAGGTCTGTAATTGTGAACATCATAAACATTTCCATTTTACAATGATAATTTTACTTGTTTTCCAATCATCTGGTAGAACTCCCAATTTTAAAGAAAAATTGAACAATTTACTTAGAAGTCATAAATTGCCCAGACTCTTTAATGAGGAAAATTTCGTCACCTTGTTCATCTGTCATTGTCACATAGTCAATTGAAACCTTCTTATTTGACAATTGCTTAATATGTTTCCAAAAAACTTTAAAGTTAGAATTGATTTTATCAGATAGCAATCTCATTTTAATTTTTTCTTTTAGTTCATAGAGTTTTCTTTTTATCTGATTTCGTATTGATTTAAACCTATTAAAAATTGTAACATCTTTTGATTTAGGATATTTTTTCCAAGTATATCTTTTTAATTTTATTTGATTAGAATTATATTATTAGGATTAAACTTTGCAAAATCCCCCTTCTCCACTGTGTTCCAGACGTTTGCTTTTATATATCGAATTCCATGTTTCTCGTTTTTACTGTGTTATACGTCGAAATGCAAATTCTATCCAAAGCGTTATTGTTTTTGTAAGTGATATATATATATATTATATATATATATATATATTGGGTTTAGACTATCATAAATACAATTATTTGTTCCTCTTGGTTAATTGAAGCGTTTTTGAGGTTGTTCTTAAGTTTCTTGCTATAATTTTTGTTGTTCCATTCTGGTTGGCATCTATCTAGTTGTTCTTTGATTTGAGCAATTAATTTTTTTTTCAGTGATCTTTATAAATATATGTATATATATATATATATATATTGTTTTACAAATTATTGAATCTGGAGATCTTATTGAAACAATTTGATTTTATCTTCAAAATTATTGTAATATCTGAGAGTTGGTTAAACGATGAAACGGCTGATTTAATTAACTTTTTTAATTACAATTTCGTCAACAAGAATAGAAGAAATAGATGTGGAGGCGGTGTTGGAATGTTTATAAAAGATGATGTAAAATATGTTGTAATGAAAGCAACATATTCGATGATGACAGCGTTGACATACTTTGCGTGGAATTTGAATTGCATCAAGCCTCACTACATAACATGATCAAGATAATTGCCATTTATCGACCACCTAGTTATAAATATGAGTCTTTTTTAGAAAAAATTGAATCGATACTAAATAGTTTAAATCCACTTGATAAAATTTTTATTGTCGTAGATTTTAACATTAATCTAATAGATAAAACCTCCAAAGATTTTCAAAATTTACTTTTGTCGCATTACTCCTTACCTTTGATTGATTTACCAACTAGGATAACTAATAACTCAATTTTACTAATAGATAATATGTTTTTTAACTTAAATCAACAAGGTTATAAAGGAATAATATTATCAGACTTTTCAGATCATTATCCAATTTATACAGTTGTAGAAAATACAGGATTTGTCACTACAGATACTATTCTCTAATTAAGGAAGCTCTATCTTCTGAAAAATGGGATTCAATAACGGATGAGAGTAACATTGACACCTGTTGCATGAATTTTTATAATCAGTTAAATAGAATTCTTGATACTTACGCCCCATTGCAACCGCTGAAACGGAAAATCAAAAAGCCATGGGTAAGTGATGAAATAATTAAATTATCAAGGAAACAGAATAAACTCTATAAAAAAAACAATTTCGACACCTACTACAGAGAATATAAATAAATATAAGCGATTCAGAAATTATTTTACATCATTTAAACGAAAGGAAGAAAAAATTACTTTAGTCAAAGATTTAATGATGCAAAAAGCTGTTCAAAGAAAAAGTGGAAGATAATAAATGGTATAATGAATAAAAATCAACAGTTGAATGATATCAATAAAATAAAAGTCAACAATAACATAATCGATAATGCAGAAGAAATGTGTAACTGTTTCAATGAATATTTTATTAAAATTACTGAAAATTTGCTTGAAAACCAAACAGTTAATGAATCTT